CGAACAGACAGACACACACACACACACACACACACACACACACACACACACACACCTGTGTGTTGGATCAAAGTTGATGCATGTGCACGATGCGGTGTGCGCCGTGATGGCAACGTCAGTTGGCTCCAGCTCTGGGAACGTGTACACCTCAACGCGTCCTGCAGTGTACACACACAGCAAGAGCATAAGCGGTGTTACTTCCTCAATAACTGAAGCTGAAGCACACACACACACACACAAACACACATACCACAAACACAGACAGACGTACACACACACACATACCACAAACACAGACAGACGTACACGAACACGCACACACGCACACACACACACACACACACACACACACACACACACACACACACACACACACACACACACAAAGGCTGAGGTAGCGGTGGTGGAGAAACAAAGTTGGGGCGACCTTGTCTGTTGGTGAGGAAGAGATGCTTTCCGCTCTTGTCCCACGTGAACTCGTTCACCTCGTAGTTGAACTGCCTGCTCTTCGTCACTTTTCCCGTCTTGGCGTCAATCAGCATGAGCGTATCCTCCTGCGACACGTCGCATGCACAGCACCGTGGCAGCGATGGGAGAGTTTGGTGAGAGAACGTGTCAGCACTTCGAACAACAACAACAACAACAACAACAACAACAACAACAACAACAACAACAACAACTTAAACAACAACAACAACAACAACAACAACAACAACTTAAACAACAACAACAACTTAAACAACAACAACAACAGCAACAACTTAAACAACAACTTAAACAACAACAACTTAAACAACAACAACAACAACTTAAACAACAACAACTTAAACAACAACAATGTCTTCTCTGACACACCAAGTTGACGACTGCGAGCGTGTTGCCATCGGGTGCATAGCGGACGCAGATGCTGGGCCGCTTTGTTGGGACGGTCGAAGTGCATTTGGGACCTACCAAGTAACAGCATGTCGAATGAGGAAGAAGACAAGGGAAGCCCCATCCAAAAGACAAGGGAAGCACGGACAGTTGAGCGGACAACACGGCGTTTGCTTGCATGTGTGTGGGATGTTCACAGGTACTGCTCAGGCGTCGTGGCTTGGCTCCACTTTAAGCGGCAGTTTGCTTGTTTGTTTGCTTGCTGTGTTTTGTGTTGGTTTGCTTGTGATGCACCATGCGACTGTGCATTAGCTAGCACAAGGCAGAGGAACAGGCAGCGTTTCACACATACCCGTGCGTACGTCCCAAAATTTGACGTGGTGGTCACTTGACGCCGTTGCCAGTACGGACTTGTTGTTGGGGTGCCACGTGAGGAAGTCCACTGACCCGCTATGTCCCCGCAATTCCAATTCCCTCGTCTGCATCGATAGAGAGGGGGGGGGGGGGGTGAGAGTGAGAGTGAGAGTGTTAGTGAGAGTGTGAGAGTGTGTGTGTGGGGCGGGGAGGTTGAAGGGGGAAGACGGAGAGTGTCGCACACAAAAAACCCGCACATACACGCACAAATGCCATACACACACAAATGTCATACACACTCTCGCATGCATGCACACACGCACAAGCATACACACACATGCACACTCACCAGGCGGTCTGTCAATCGCATCACACAAGCAGTCTTGTCCATGGATCCGGATCCAAGCATTCCTCCTTCGCAGTCCCAGTCCAAGCACAGCACCTGTCACACACACACACACACAC